AATATGGCCGTGGCACCCTGGAGCCTCAGCAGGATCCCACGTTCCCCCTGGGTTTTCCATGGTTTTCCGTGTTTCCCTTGGTTTTCCGTTTTTCCATGGTTTTCCGTGTTTTCCTTGGTTTTCCATGCTCTCCCTGTTTTCCACGCTCTTCCCGGTTTTCCAAGCTCTTCCTGATTTTCCATGCTCTCCCGGTTTTCCATGCTTTTTCTGGTTTTCCATTCCTTCTGGTTTTCCATGTTCTTCCTGTTTTTTTCCATGCCCTCCCTCTTTTTTAATTCCTTTTGATTTTCCAAGCTCTCCCTGGTTTTTCCAAACCCTTCCCTGTTTTCCAAGCCCTTCCTGATTTTCCATGCTCTCTCTGTTTTTTCAGTGCCTTTCCTGGTTTTCCACACTTTTCCTGCTTTTCCATGCTCTTCCTGGTTTTCCATGTTTTTTTCTGGTTTTCCATGTTCTTCCTGTTTTTTTCCATGCCCTCCCTCTTTTTTAATTCCTTCTGATTTTCCAAGCTCTCCCTGGTTTTTCCAAGCCCTTCCCAGTTTTCCAAGCTCTTCCCGGTTTTCCAAGCTCTCCCTGGTTTTTCCACTCCCCTCCCGGTTTTCCATTCCTTCTGGTTTTCCATACTCTCCCTGTTTTCCAAACTCTTCCCCATTTTCCAGGCCCTCCATGGTTTTCCAAGCTCTTCCTCATTTTCCAAGCCCTCCGTGCTCTCCCTGGTTTTTCCAAGCTCTTCCCAGTTTTCCAAGCCCTCCCCATTTTCCATGTTCTCCACGTTTATTCCACGCTCTTCCTGGTTTTCCACACTTTTCCTGGTTTTCCACACTTTTCCTGGTTTTCCGTTCCTTCTGGTTTTCCAAGCTCTCCCTGTTTTCCATGCTCTCCATGGTTTTTCCAAGCCCTTCCTGATTTTCCAAGCTCTCCCTGGTTTTCCATGTTATTCCTGGTTTTTCCATTTTTTTTCTGGTTTTCCATGTTCTTCCTGGTTTTCCCAGCTCTTCCCAGTTTTCCAAGCCCTTCCTGATTTTCCAAGCCCTTCCTGGTTTTCCATTCCTTCTGGTTTTCCAAGCTCTCCCTGTTTTCCAAGCTGTTCCTGTTTTCCATGCTCTCCCTGTTTTTCCATGTTCTCCCTGGTTTTTCCATGCCTTTCCTGGTTTTCCACACTTTTCCTGGTTTTTCCATGCCCTTCCCGGTTTTCCAAACCCTCCCTGTTTTCCATGTTCTCCCTGGTTTTTCCAAGCTCTTCCCGGTTTTCCGTGCTCTCCCAGTTTTCCATTCCCTCCCTCTTTTTTAATTCCCGCTTTTCCCTCCGTTTTCCTCTCCCTGTTTCCCAACCCATCCCTGGTTTTTTTCCCGTTCCCTCTGGATTTCCCTTCCCTTCCCGGTTTTCCGAGCCTTTTCCCGCTCCCCGCGGGGTCGGGACAGATCCCAACATTCCAAGCCTGGATCACCCGGGATTTATTTCATCCCGAGCCTCTGGAATTCCCACCCTGGAATTCCCGCCCTGGAATTCCCACCCTGGAATTCCTACCCTGGAATTCCTACCCTGGAATTCCCACCCTGGAATTCCCGCCCTGGAATTCCCACCGTGGAATTCCCACCCTGGAATTCCCGCCCTGGAATTCCCACCCTGGAATTCCCACCCTGGAATTCCCACCCTGGAATTCCCGGCGCTTCCGGACCGTTATTCCCAATCCAGAGTCTTTTTTTTNCGGTATCCCGAGGGTCGCTGTTCCCGGAGGAATTCCGATGGAATTTGGGAATTCGGGATGGGCTCCGGTGTCCTGGAGCTGCTCCGGTAGGAATTGGAATGGCAGGAATTGGAATGCCGGGAGTTGGAATGGCAGGAATTGGAATACCGGGAGTTGGAACGGGATTCTGCTGAATCCCTTATCCCAAAATTCCCAACCCAAAATTCCCAGGGGTGATGCCAGCTCCGGGAATGTCCCGTGTGGAATCCTCGGGAAGGGCGGTGTCCCGCTGTATCCCAAAAAGCCAAAGCTTTTCCTGGCAAATCCAGGGATTTATCCCGATATTCCTGGCAAATCCAGGGATTTATTCCGATATTCCTGGCACTTCCAGGGATTTATCCCGATATTCCTGGCAAATCCAGGGATTTATCCCAATATTCCTGGCAAATCCAGGGATTTATCCCGATATTCCTGGCAAATCCAGGGATTTATCCCAATATTCCTGGTAAATCCAGGGATTTATCCCGATATTCCTGGCAAATCCTGAGATTTATCCCAATATTCCTGGCACTTCCAGGGATTTATCCCGATATTCCTGGCAAATCCAGGGATTTATCCCAATATTCCTGGCAAATCCAGGGATTTATCCCGATATTCCTGACAAATCCTGGGATTTATCCCGATATTCCTGGCACTTCCAGGGATTTATCCCGATATTCCTGACAAATCCTGGGATTTATCCCGATATTCCTGGCAAATCCTGGGATTTATCCTGATATTCCTGACAAATCCTGGGATTTATCCCGATATTCCTGGCAAATCCTGGGATTTATCCCGATATTCCTGACAAATCCTGGGATTTATCCCGATATTCCTGGCACTTCCAGGGATTTATCCCGATATTCCTGGCAAATCCAGGGATTTATCCCGATATTCCTGGCAAATCCAGGGATTTATCCCAATATTCCTGGCAAATCCAGGGATTTATCCCGATATTCCTGACAAATCCTGGGATTTATCCCGATATTCCTGGCACTTCCAGGGATTTATCCCAGTGGATCCATGCCATTTATCCCGATATTCCTGGCGTATCCATGGGGATTATCCCGATATTCCCACCCTGAGGAAGTGCCAGGAATGTGGCGCGAGGGGCCACAGGAAAACCGGGAAGTTTTGGATGGAAAAGTTGGATCAGGGTGGGATTGGAGGTCCCTTCCCATCCTGGGATTTTCCGATCCGGGATTTCCTGTCCTGGTGGTTCCCATTCCCTCTTTTCTCCCCCCCGGAATGTGGGATCAGCTCTTCCAGCCGGGAAGATCCAGTGGGAATTTCCATGGGAAGCGGCTGAGGGATCTTCCCAACCTTTCCCTGGATCGGGCAGATCCAGAGGATCCCACGGATCCGGAAAAATCTTCCCAAGGATTCCTGGGATGGATCTTCCTGGGGGGAGGAGAAGATTCCCGGGAGAGCTCCCAGAACATTCCAGGGGCTCCAGGGGAGCCGGGATTTGGAAAAGGCCTGGGAGGGACAGGACACAGGGAATGGCTCCAGATTGGGAAAGGGGAATTTGGGAAGGAATTCCCAGCTGGAATGGAATTCCCAGAGCAGCTGGGGCTGCCCCTGGATCCCGGGAATGGCCAAGGAAAGCTTGGAGCAGCCTGGGATGGTGGGATTGGAATGGGATGGGATGGAAGGTCCCTGGATCCCATCCCAAACCATTCTGGGATTTGGGAGGCTCTGAATCCATGCCGAGGGATTTTTCTGGAAGTTGGGGCTGGGAAAGGGAAGGGAGACCCTTCCTGCAGTGCCGAGATTCCCAGGGAAACCCCTGGATCCCAAAATTCCTTTGGATCCAATGCCAGGCTGGGAGAGCTGGGAATGGAGGGAATTCCCTGGGCAAGGGGAGATGGGGGTGGGATTTTGGGAATTGGGAATTCCCGGCTGGGCTGGAATTGCCAGAGCAGCTTCGGCTGCCCCTGGATCCCGGGAATGTCCGAGGCCAGGCTGGAGAAATCCGGGATAACGGGAAGGAGTCTCATGGAATGGGACCAGCTTTAAGTTCCTTCCCACCCAAAGCATTCCATGATTCCACAATTCCATGGAAGCTCCAGCTGGGCTCTGGGAGAATCCCAGGAGGAATTCCCACCCGGACACGGCTGGAGCTGGGAAAGCTGCCGGGACAGGAATTTGGGATTCGGATCCACCTGGATCTGAGCCCCAGATTCCCATTCCGGGAATTCCAGAGGCTCCGGAGGGATCCATGGGAATGAATCCTCCTGCCCATTCCCATATCCCTGCGATTCCCGAGGGAACGGATCCCGGTGTTCCCAAGGGATAAATGGATGGATCCCGGAGCTGGGAATTCCCTGAGCGGCTCTCCCGATATTCCCGATGTCCGTGGGCACCGGATCCCGGCCCGGACACGGAAAGTTGGGATCATTCAAGGAGCCGAGTCCTTTCGGGCCGGGAATATCCCGGTTTATCCCAAATAAACTCCGGATGTGCCGGAGCCTCGTGGCTCCCACGGACATCTCCGTGTCCCAGAATTCCCGGGATTTCCCACCCTCCTGGCTGGACTCGGCTGATCCCGAATACCCAAAATCCGGGAGGAATTGGGAATGTGGCGCATCCGTGGGGTGGGAACATCCAAATCCATGGAAAAGCGCTGGGAGGGGAGAGGAGCGGCGGGAAGGATCCTGGGATGAGGGGTGGGGAGGGAAGGATCCTGGCTGATCCCGGCTGATCCCGGCTCATCCTGGCTGATCCTGGCTGATCCTGGCTGATCCCGCCTGATCCCAGTTTTCCTTGGAGAGGAGCAGTGGGAAGGATCCCAGGATGAGAGGCAGGAAGGGAAGGATCCCGGCTGATCCCAGCTGATCCTGGCTGATCCCGGCTGATCCCGGTTTTCCTTGGAGAGGAGCAGTGGGAAGGATCCCAGGATGAGAGGCAGGAAGGGAAGGATCCCGGCTGATCCCGGCTGATCCTGGCTGATCCCAGCTCATCCTGGCTGATCCTGGCTGATCCCACCTGATCCCAGTTTTCCTTGGAGAGGGGCAATGGGAAGGATCCCGGGATGAGAGGCAGGGAGGGAAGGATCCCGGCTGATCCCAACTGATCCCGGCTGATCCCGGCTGTTTTTCCTTGGAGAGAAACGGCGGGAAGGATCCTGGGATGAGGGGTGGGGAGGGAAGGATCCCAGCTGATCCCGGCTGATCCCGGTTTTCCTTGGAGAGGAGCGGCTGGAAGGATCCCGGCTGATCCCTGCTGATCCCTGCTGATCCCGGCTGATCCCGGCTGGTTTTCCTTGGATTGCAGAGAAGCTGGATGAGATCCTGGCGGCGGCGGAGCCGGCGCTGCGGGCGGAGCTGGTGGAGGCCGATTCCAGAGCGGCCACGGTGAAACAGCGCCCGACGAGCCGCAGGATCACCCCGGCCGAGATCAGTGTGAGCCTGGCGGGAATTCCCGGGAATTCTTTGGGAATGGGGGAATGGGATCACAGGATCACCCCGGCCGAGATCAGTGTGAGCCAGGCGGGAATTCCTGGGAATTCTTTGGGAATGGGGGAATGGGATCACAGGATCACCCCGGCCGAGATCAGTGTGAGCCTGGCGGGAATTCCCGGGAATTCCCTGGGAATGGGGGTGTGGAAGTCGGAATTCCCAGGAATGGAAGGAGAGGGCTGGGAAGGATCTGGAGGATCTCACTGAGGAGATCAATGTGAGCCAGAGGGAATCCCAGCGGGAATGGCGGCCGGGAATGAGGGAGAGGGATGGGGAGGGAATGGGGAGTGGAATTTCCGGGAATGTGGAGTGGAATTCCTGGGAATGAGGAGTGGGATTCCTGGGAATGGTGTTTGGGATTACCGGGAATGGAAGGAGAGGGATGGGAGGGAATGTGGTGGCAAGGGGAGCTGGCTCAGGAGTGGAATTCCTGGGAATGTGGAGTGGAATTCCCAGGAATGGGGATTGGAATTCCCAGGAATGAGAATTCCCGGGGATACAGAGCCTGGGAGACCCCGATCCACAGCTCCACAGGATCCCCATCCCAGCCCAGGAATCCGCTTGGATTTCCCAGGGAAAGCTGTGGAAGAGATGCTCTGGAGGAGCCCGGAGAGCCAGGCTGGAATTCTGCCGGAATTCTGCTGGAATTCTGGAATTCTGCTGGAATTCTGCCAGAATTCTGCCATAATTCTGCCGGAATTCTCCGAGGAGGATGAAAGAGCTCGGGATTGTGCCGGGAGTGCTGCGGGTGGGAAAAGCGGGCAGGGAGTTGGGATGGGAATTATCCCAAAGTTTGGAATCCCACGGGGCGGAGCAGCGGGAAGCCGAAGGCCAGCCGGGCCCATCCCGGTGGGAAGAGCTCCCGTTTTCCCGCCGTGGGAATTCCGGGTGGGAACGTCGCGGCCTGCCGGCAGCATCCGGACTGGGAATTCCCTGTTTTTCCCTTCCAGTCCCTGTTTGAGCGGCAGGGAATGGCGCATCCCGGGGTCCTGGCGGGAACGGAGAAACCCCACGTGTCCCTCCGGAAGGGAATTCCACGGACCAAGTCTGTCGGTGAGGAAAAACCCGGGAGAATCCCTCGGGAATGAGGAGGGAGGGTCCCCCTGGGATGCGGATTTTGGAGTATCCCACGGAATTCCGCAGAATTGCAGCTCGGAGGGATGCCTGGTCCTGGAGGATTCCAGGAGGGAATTTTGGGAGGGAATTCCGGGAATTCCCAGACCGTCTCAGCCACAGGCATTCCTGGTGGGAATGGCGCCTCTGGAACCGGGAATGCCGGAGCTGGGGCTCAGGAGGAGCGGGACGAGGTCTGGAGGAGGCACCTGGATGTGAGGGTTCCTTGAGCTTATCCCAAAAAATTTTTGGAGTTTCCAAACCCAAAACCATCTCTGGTGGATCCTTCACTCTGTTCCCAAAGATTTCTGGTGCCACCAATCCCAAAATCCATTCCTGGGAATTCCTTGACCCCATTCCAGAATTTTTTTGGTGCCACCAATCCCAAAATCCGTCCCTGGGAACTCCTTGAACCCATTCCAGATTTTTTTTGTGTCACCAATTCCAAAATCCAATCCCTGGGAATTCCTTGAGCTTATCCCAAAATATTTCTGGAGTCTCCAATCCCAAAACCATCTCTGGTGGATCCTTCACTCTGTTCCCAAAGATTTCTGGTGCCACCAAATCCCAAAATCCATCCCTGGGAATTCCTTGACCCCATTCCAGAATTTCTTTGTGTCACCAATCCCAAAATCCATTCCTGGGAATCTTTGACTCCATTCCAGGATTTTTTTGGTGCCACCAATCCCAAAATCCATCCCTGGGAATTCCCTAACCCCATTCCAGAATTTTTTTGGTGCCACCGATCCCAAACCTGGTCCTTGGTCCTAAAAACAAAAGGAAAATCAGGAATTCCAGGGATTGTGCCGGGAATTCTGCGGGAAAGACGTTCCCAAGTCTCTGGAAGAGCTGGGATGAAATGGGATCCTTGGGATTGGGATGCAGAGGACGGATCCATGTGTGGACATGGAGAAATCCCATCCCAGCATTCCCAAACCTGCGGTGTTCCAAAGGGGAACCGGGATTTTTATCCCGGGATTTTTTATCCTGGGATTTCTTATCCTGGGATTTTTCTCCTGGAATTTTTATCCTGGGATATTTTTTATCCTGGGATTTTCATCCGGGTTTATCCCATATTTTGGTCTGGGAAGTGGATCCTGCCCCGGTGCCGTTGGAATGAGGAGGATCCGGGAGATTCCCGAAGCGTTCCCGGAGTTTCTGGGTCGGAAAGTTTGGGAAGAGGCTTTGGGAAAGGAGCGGCTCAAGGGCCGGTGCAGCCGGGAAGAGCCGGGAATGGTTTGGAAAGGGATCTGGGAATGAATCCATGGAATTTTCCAAGGGCTGGAGCCGGGCTGGGAAAACTGGGAATGTTCCTCCGGAGAAGGGAAGGATCCAGGGAGAGCTTCCAGAACATTCCAGGGGCCCCAGGAGAGCCGGGATTTAGGAAAGGCCTGGAGGGACAGGACACAGGGAACGGCTCCAGATTGGGAAAGGGGAATTTGGGAAGGAATTTCCGGCTGGAATGGAATTCCCAGAGCAGCTGGGGCTGCCCCTGGATCCCGGGAATGGCCAAGGAAAGCTTGGAGCAGCCTGGGATGGTGGGAATTGTCCAGGGCTTGGAAGTGGATGGGTTTTGAGGTCATTCCCAGCCAGAATTCCGGAATTCTGGAATCCTTCCCACGGAATTCCGGCAGCGCCTCGGGAAGGGCCCCAGCCTGGCCCAGCCTGGGATGGGATTTTTGGGAATTTTTCCATGGAAAAGGCTCTCAGGCCTCGGCTGGAGAGGTTTGGAGGAATCCAAGGAATTCCCGGAATTCCACTCAGGTCCAGGATTTGGCCCAGTGTGGACTCGACGGTCTTGGAATTCTTTCCCATACTTTCAATAATTTGGGAATCCTGTGCTCGTACCCCCACGAGAATTCCCAGCTCATCCCGGTTATCCCTGAGAATTCCCAGCAATTCCAAACCAAACCCCCCCCCGGGGGAAAAAACAAACAAAAAAATGGGATAAAAACCAAATCTCCATCAGGAGATTCCCGGAAAAAAAAAAATAAATCCAGGAAAAAAAAAAATCCCATTCCAGCATCCATGGAAGGGAGGGGACCCAACCCCCAAAGCCGCAGCAGCTCCGGGATGGAACCGGTGGAATTCCAGGAAAACGGGGATGGGAAAGAGGCGGAGAGGGAGGGACGGGGCTGGAATTAGAAATCCTTGAGCTGACATTCCACACCCACGGCCGGGAGCTGCGCAGCGCATCCCAAAATTCCCCGCACGGGCCGGGAAGGAGATGGAAAAAGCAGGAAAAGCTGGGATGGGAATTTGGGGAATTTTGGGGGTTTTTAGGGAAGAAACGCTCCCAGCTGGGATTGGAGGATTTGGGCAGCGTTGTGGATTCCCGGGGAGGAAAAATCAGGAAGATTCCGGTTGGGGAGGGGAAAATTCCTGGGATTAAGGTGGTTAACCCTTGGCTGGCTGGGAAAGAAAAAGAGGAAGAAAAGAGCAAAGATTCCAGGAAAAATTCCCGGGATGGAGGTGGTTAACCCTTGTCTGGCTGGGAAAAAAAAAAGTGGGAAAAAGATGAAAAAAATTCCAGGAAAAATTCCCAGAAAAAGGTGATTAACCCCGTGCTGGCTGGGAAAAAAAGGGATAAAAGATCAAAGATTCTGGGAAAAATTTCTGGGATGGAGGTGGTTAACCCTTGGCTGACTGGGAAAAAAAGAATGGGATTAAAAATGAAAGATTCCAGGAGAAATTCCCGGGATGGAGGTGATTAACTCTTGACTGACTGGGAAAAAAAAGAGGGAGATAAAATCAAAGATTCCAGGAAAAATTCCCGGGATGGAGGTGGTTAACCCCCGGCTGGCTGGAAAAAAAAAAAAGTGGGAGAAAAGATGAAAAAAATTCCAGGAAAAATTCCCAGAAAAGTGTGGTTAACTCTTGGCTGTCTGGGGAAAAAAAAAAAAGAGGGAGAAAAGATGAAAAAGATTCCAGGAAAAATTCCCGGGATCGAGGACGTTAACCCCTGGTTGGCTGGGAAAAAAAAAGAGGGAGAAAAGATGAAAAATATTCCAGGAAAAATTCCCGGGGAAATGTGGTTAACCCTTGACTGGGGGAAAAAAAGTGGGAGAAAAGATGAAAAAAAATCCAGGAAAAATTCCCAGAAAAAGGTGATTAATCCTTGACTGACTGGGAAAAAAAGAATGGGATTAAAAATCAAAGATTCCAGGAGAAATTCCCAGGAAAAGGTGATTAACCCCCTGCTGGCTGGGAAAAAAAAGTGTGAGAAAAGATCAAAGATTCCAGGAGAAATTCCCGGGATGGAAGTGATTAACCCTTGGCTGACTGGGAAAAAAATGGAATTAAAAATCAAAGATTCCAGGAAAAATTCCTGGGATGGAAGCGGTTAACCCTTGGCTGACTGGGAAAAAAAGTGGGAGAAAAATATCAAAGATTCTGGGAAAAATTCCTGGGATGGAGGTGATTAACCCTTGGCTGACTGGGAAAAAAAAATGGGATTAAAAATCAAAGATTCCAGGAAAATTTCTGGGATGGAGGTGATTAACTCTTGACTGACTGGGAAAAAAAAGAGGGAGATAAAATCAAAGATTCCAGGAAAAATTCCCGGGAAAAGGTGGTTAGCCCTTGGCTGACTGGGAAAAAAATGGGATTAAAATTCAAAGATTCCAGGAAAAATTCCCGGGATGGAGGTGGTTAACCCTTGGCTTGCTGGGAAAAAAAAAAGTGGGAGAAAAGATGAAAAAAATTCCAGGAAAAATTCCCAGAAAAGTGTGGTTAACTCTTGGCTGTCTGGGGAAAAAAAAAGAGGGAGAAAAGATGAAAAAGATTCCAGGAGAAATTCCCGGGAAAATGTGGTTAACCCTTGACTGGGGGAAAAAAAGTGGGAGAAAAGATGAAAAAAAATCCAGGAAAAATTCCCAGAAAAAGGTGATTAATCCTTGACTGACTGGGAAAAAAAGAATGGGATTAAAAATCAAAGATTCCAGGAGAAATTCCCAGGAAAAGGTGATTAACCCCCTGCTGGCTGGGAAAAAAAAAGAGGGAGAAAAGATCAAAGATTCCAGGAGAAATTCCCGGGATGGAAGTGATTAACCCTTGGCTGACTGGGAAAAAAAAAATGGGATTAAAAACCAAAGATTCCAGGAAAAATTCCCGGGATGGAGGCAGTTAACCCTTGGCTGACTGGGAAAAAAAAATGGGATTAAAAATCAAAGATTCCAGGAAAATTTCTGGGATGGAGGTGATTAACCCTTGGCTGACTGGGAAAAAAAATGGGATTAAAAATCAAAGATTCCAGGAAAAATTCCCGGGATGGAGGTGGTTAACCCCCGGCTGGCTGGAAAAGAAAAAAAAGCGGGATGGGCGGAATATTTGGAGGAAAATGGGAAGGAGTGGGGGGGAAGGGGAGGGAAGAAAATTCCTTGTCAGACTTCCAAGATTTCTCCCGGTGCCATCTGCTCCCGGCAGCGGAGTTAAAAACGCTCCGGAGCCTGCAGAGCTGCCATGGCTCCCGGACAGAATTCCAGAGGGATGGGAGGGATTTTTTGGGAATATTGGAGGGGATGGGAAGCGTCCTGGAGTTCACATCCAGGGGTGGAATCCCGGAATGGTTTGGGTGGGATCTTGGAGATTCCCTAATTCCGGCCCATTCCAAGGGCAGGGATGCCTCCCGCTATCCCAGGGCGCTTCCAGGGGCAGCCGCAGCTTTTCTGGGAATTCCAAGCCCATCCCGGGTGCTGGAGGATGGAGATTCCCATTCTTGGACTTGGAAAATTGGAGATTTCCATTCCTGGACTTGGAAAATTGGAGATTCCCAGCCCTGGGTTCCAGAGAATGGAGATTCCCATTCCTGGACACAGAAGGACGGAAATTCCCATTCCTGGACACAAAAAAATGGAAATTCCCATCCCTGGACACAAAAAAGTGGAGATTCCCATTCCTGGACACCAAAGGATGGGAATTCCTATCCCTGAACACAACAG